TCATAGGTTTTATCCACCGCGTAGACGTCTGTTCCAGCAGATCGGCCCTGCTACAGGGACAATACTGGTGATAACAGTGTGATGATACTTATCTTATATGCTAACAATCAGGAAGACGTATCACCATCGGTATGCAGCCCTGTATGGAATGGTGATGGTGTGAGGCGTGCTGGTATACCACCGTATAGCCCTTCGGCAATATCTGCCAACACCACCTCACCCGCTTCTATGCCGGTTTACCATCCTTCTACCAACACTGAACAAGGTGACTATATTCGTATAATCATCTCTCTCTGTCATCATCATCATTATCATACGTATCTCAGGCTACTCGGCCTGGACCGTCATATGGATAGATGAAGTAGCATTCAAGAGTGATTCTAAGGTTAAGAAGGATTCATTAGCAGAGAAATTCAAGGTGGCTCTTTGTATAATCATGTGGTCACATCTAATACCAACAGATAACGGTGAAGGCATATAAGTCCTCAGAGAAATGCATTCGTGCATTCGAGAAGCGTTGTAACAAGAGGCCACCAGCCCGTGGTCAGACGCAGAAACAGATGGTAATAGCAGCCTCTCGCAGCAGCAGCAAGCTGGGGATAACATCTTAATATGGTGCCCTGCAGATTGTAGTAAGTGAGAGTAATGCCGTGGAGCTCTTAGACTATCTTCATAAGGGCAGGGAGTGGCTTGCGCCGAAGCTTTTCATATTGGGGGTAGTAGTAGTAGTGGTAGAGATACGTATGTGGGCAGCATTTAAAACTTGTCTCCTTGTAGCCCACCAGCAGCCAATTGAGGAGGAGGAGTAGATTGATTACGGCAACCGTACGGAACTGGGGCCAGCTCATAGGTCTTATCGGCCGAACATTGCGAGAGGCTTCGTAATAGTAGTGGGCTGCTTTAAATTAATGCATGCGTACGCCTTAAGATGTCGACGCCTGCTTGTGCTATCGTCACCATTACTTTCATCATTAAGTCATCACCGTTCTGCTGTCTGGGTGCATGCTAATATCGTCGGTAATGGCCCCTAGTAACTTCCGATCCTGTCAACTTCTATCTCACTACATGATATTTTTTATCATCCCCTTGGCCTTGAGTTGAGGTGTGGGTGGTAGTGCTAGTGTAGTTGGTCTTTTCTTCATCAATGG